GAAGAAAGTGATCCATGAAATGCCAGTCTGATCTTGTCACTTTGCAGCCTCACCCCAGCCCCCATTAAAAAGACTCCAGGTTCCCAGTTGTGACTGGATAGAGTCCGATCTCACCAGCTTTGTGCCTGACCTGATTCCAACCACCTCAAATTCCCAACGTTGTGCCCTCACTCGTTTCCAGGTCTTTCTCTCAGGTACTCCCCACTCCCTCCCTCACATCCGCTATCTATGTGCACCATGGACTATCTTCCTTGAAGTCAGTTCAACCTTCACTGTCCAGCTGGGAGGAGCCCCTGTCTCTCGGTGCTCCCCTTTGCCTGTAACTGCCTGTGTCACATGAAGGTATAATTTCTTGTCATCTGTCTCCTCCCCACAGGGCCCCTTGGACTTGCTTTTCTCCCTTGCCCTGAGAACAGGGCCTGGCCTACACACACATCCCCTCCTTTCTACAACCACTGCTACCTCCAGCATGCATCCCCTGGATCCAAATTCTTCTCTTCAGGGGCATGGCTCCCAGCCGCTCCCTCTAGATAAGGCCAGCAGCCATTCCTGTGGACCACTTTCCCTGTCTCTCTGCCGTGCTTAAAACCCTTCAGTGGCTTCCCTTTGTTCTCAGGATCAAATCGTTGTTATTAGCATGGCACTCAAGGCTCTGTCTGACCTGGCCTTACTATAAAATCCAGCAGAGGAGAGAATAAGAACACTGTGGAGAGGTAGAGGAGACTGAGGGGCAATTGGCTTACAACTCAAAAAAGTGTGAGGGAACATTGTTTGAGAATCCATTTTCTGTTTACATGTGGAGTGTGTTCCAAAAATTTCCTGCCTATCAGGGATCTGGGTGGGCTGAATATTGCTGGTATAGCTGGTGGTTCCCAGACTTGTGAATTTCACTAGCAAGTAGATTTTTCTTTTCCTTTCTTTTTTTTCTTTTCTTCTTTCTTTCTTTCTTTCTCTTCCTTCTTTCCTTCCTTCCTCCCTTTCTTTCTTTTCCTTCCTTCCTTCCTTCCTTCCTTCCTTCCTTCCTTTCCCCTTCCTTTCTTCCTTCCTCCCTTCCTCCCTTCTTTTAATTTAGGGACAGATACAGTTGCCAACTTTTTATTTTGCAAAGTAAGCTCATTAAACCAAACACTACCATCTCTTCGTGAAATAAAGGACTTTTGTATATCACACAAAAATCCATGATTTCAGAATAAAGGTCAGTACTCTAACTTTTGCGGGGGGCGGGGAGGTGAAACTTGCCACAACAACCACATTTTTCTTATTTTGCCTGGGACCGGTGAAGACTCTTGTCTGAGGAACTGTTGCAGCCCCGGGTGCTCCCCTCCCTGCAGCTTGCTGCTTGCATTCCCATTGCTATGCACGGAGTCTTTGTCTCCAAGCCTGCCTGCACTGTGGGGAGTAGGAGTGGAGAGTGTGGTGTCCCTCTCCCACCTGCTATGGAACCAGGCCCCACAAACCAGTCTGATTTGACGGATTAGAGCCCAAAGCTGTGGGAGGAGAGAGGATGCTGCCGAAGGGCTTCTGAAGCCATGGGCATAGCTGAGCAGCCTTGGGACCCGGGGCCAAAGGGTGAGGTTGAGTTGGGGCAAAGACTTTGTCCATGACCCTCCTGGCATGTGAACTCCCTCTCTACTCTGGTGCCCCACAATCAGTGGTGGTGGCGGCGGGGGGAGGTTTACCAGGAAATGACACTCCTGCCATGGACAGTGGTGCGTCCCAGATGAGTACCTTCAACAGCAAGGAGGGGTTTGTGATAGTGACATACAGCTGTTTTGGAAGTTAGAACACATCTCTTGAAGGATATGGTGTGCCGTGGGGCGGGGGGCAGAAGGTTGGGAAGTGGTGGAACTACAGGCTAGCCCTCAGAAGCCTACCTCAGGTCAGGGGCAGCCATCCCAGCCCCATCCATGCCTCTCCTGTACCCCCAGGCCAGCCTGTTGGCCATTTGTCTGGGCCCCACTTTCCTGTCTGGGTGAGAGCTGAAGAAAGGTGGGCATTTTGGGAGAGGAGCTTGTCAGGCCACATGGCTTTCCAGCTGGTGACAATTTTAAGGAGAGAAGTTCAGGAAGGTGCAAAGAGTAGCAGGAAGGTGGAGTCAAGGGGCTGGTGTGGAATCCAAGGTGGGCTTGGCCAGGAGTTGGTCCCAGCACCCACGTGCAGTGGTAGCAGGTAGTGTCTGTATGTCTGCACATATGGCACGGGATGGTGGTGCATAGAATCCCAGTTTCTAAGCGTCAAATTTCCTGTATGTAAATCAACTCCACGTTCAACTGCAATGTAGTGGAGTAGCAGTTACCTGACTGAGGGGCTTACCAACTTCTGGGTGGGACCTCAGCCTGGCAGGATCAGGGCCTCCGTGCCATCAGCCCTCCGAGACTCACACTAACCTAACTTATAAGAGACTGAGAGACAAACTGGATCCCAAATGAGTCATTTTAATAGGGAGAGTTATCTGATATAGTAACTAACCTCAGACACTTGCAGTATTTTGATTAATGGCTTTTTCTTTTTGAATGGGTGGTTTTTGGCACATGGTAAGCATCATCCTTTTCTGTTGGTTCTGATTCCTAGGTCCTCTCCAGTACTCATCCCCTGCTTGGGAGGAGCACATTCTTAAGTCCCACACCATAGCCTGTTAATATTCATCCTTGTCATGGCTCAGTTTACTAGAATGAAGGCTGGCAAAGTTTTTTCTGGAAAGGGATAAGTGGTAGATACTGTGACTTTGCAGGGTCTGTGGTGTCTGTTGCAACTACTCATCTCCGGTGTGGTAGTGCAAAAACAGCCACAGACCATACAGAAATGCATGGGTTTTGGCTATTCCTACAAAACTTCACGGACCCTGACCTTTGCATTTTGTATTATTTTTCCCATGTCACAAAATAACCTTCTTTTGATCTTTTAAACCACTGAAAAACGCAAAAACCACTCTTAGTTTGTAGGCTGCACGAACAGGCAGGTGGGCTGGATTTGGCCTACTACCCTGAGGCGGAGAATAGTTTTGCTGCGTTGTTACATTGTGGCCAGTGATTTAGCTGGTGGGATCTGGGCATCTCTACCGCGTGTTTAGCAGGTAAAGTTCCAGTTGGGTGTGACTCTCCACTGCCTGGTGACTGCCTTTTCCTCACCTCCTCATGCCTCTCCAGTATGGAGGAGTAGATAGGTGCTAGGGTTTGCCCCTCAGAGGTTGCAGGGACTTTCCAGACCATGACGTCTGGTGCCCTCCTGGTACAGATGGGACCACTGAGGCCAAGGCACCAGGGAATGGCCCAGAACACCCCTGAGTTGCTGGGAAAGTTGGGGCCAACTTGCAGCATGGAATTCATGGCTCAACTTTGCAGTAACCATATTTCTTTAGCTGTTCCAGGACTAAGTTCCAGGACTAACAAGACCACTTCTGTGCTCACTCTGTCTCAGGTCACGCACTTTCACCCTATCAGTTAATCCTCCACACAACCTTATTGGCTCCAGACATGATCTCAACCCTGTCGGGCTCCAAAGCCCATGCTCTTAGCCATGCACTCACTGGGGTTCCTAGGGGTCCTCCTGCCTCTTTGACACTGTGGGACTGGTTAACTCCCCAAATTCAAAGAACCTTCATTTTACTCCTTTTCCCTTATTAATTATTGAGGTGATACATGAAGTTGTGAGAAATACAAAATAGGGGTAAAAATGCCTGGACTATGCCGCGTATATAGTGTGTGTTCAGTAAGGACTAGCTATTTCCGTTAATTCTCCAGCTAGTTAGTGTCACAGGATAAGTACTGCCTGAAAATTAAGGTATTAACTCTATACGTTTTGCTTTGCCAGCCGCAGGATTCAGAGCACCGGCTGGCAGGGGCAGGCTCGACGCCGCCGCTCTGCCACTCTGGAGAGCAGTGGGGCTCACTCTTTGTCCTGGAAAGCCGGCTGCAGCTGGAGCCCTTCTTGAGGGTGTTCACATCAAAGGCTGCGGCGGGCATTCTGCTGTTGAAGGCAGTGTTGGAATCTGATTTTGCCCAGCCCTGGAGATGGACTCGGTTTGCGGGGCTTTATGGGAAAGGACTGCAGCGCGCCTGTCGATCACCGAGCACAGCGGCGCTGCAGATGTGAACTTGCGCTTTCAGCGCATTCGTCAAAGCCTGCGGAGAGCTGACCCCATCTCTCCCACTCATCCCCCCCCCCCCAACCCCCCCGGCCCCCGGGCCCCAGCCCTCCCCCCCCCCCCCCCCCCCCCCCCCCCCGGGCCCCCGGCGCTGCGGCTTCAGTCCCCCCCCCCCCCCCCCCCCCGCCAGCGTGCCCTGGCGCCCCCGCCCTTGGACTCATTTCCTCGAGACGTGCCGCTGTTTGCCAACAGCGGGCAGCCACGAAAACGGCTCTTTTCTTTCATCTCCGGACAGGCTTGCACTACAGTTTCCCGCAGGGGTCGGCGAGGGGCCGGGCAGCCAGCCCAGTGAAAAGCGAGCTCAGCCCCAGCGACTGGGGCTAGAGCACGGGTGCTGAGTCCCGGGGCCGCAGCTGGAGGGGCTCCCAGGGAACAGCCTTTTACCGGGAGGACGCCAAGTCCAGAAGGGGAAGAGCCCTGTCCAAGGTCACCCGGCTGGCAGAGCGCACCTGCCGTGTGCGCCGCCTCGGGTCCTGCTCCGGGCCGGGAGGAGTCTGGCGCGCCGAGTGGAAATCCCCGCACGCCCTGGCCGCCCGCGCCTCCGGCTCCTCTGCCCCTGGGGACACATTGCTTCGGGCCCGCAGGCTCGCCTCCGGAGCACTGGGGGGGAAGTGGCCCGCGGGCAAGCCGCAACGCGCGGGCTCTCGCCCCAACGAAGGCCACCCCACCCTCCGGGGGCCACGGGCCCCGCCCCTCGCGCACGAGCCCGCCCCCAGGCTGAGGACCTGCCCCTCGCTCAGCGATCCCGCCCCCGAGGCTGCAGGCTGGCTCCGCCCTCGCGCCACAGTCGCAGCCCCGCCCCACCTCACCGGGCCCTAGCCCGGCGCGCCCCCGGCGCCGGCGCTTGTGCGCTAGCGCTTGTGCCCCTCCTCCGCCCTCCCGGGGCTGGGCCGCGCGCGCCGGCTCTGGGCGGGGCCCCGCGGTGGCGGCGGGACTCCTCCCCCTGCGGCTCCTCCTTCTCCTCCTCGGTCCCAGCACCTCCCCGGCCTCCCTGACCTCCCCCTCCGGCGCTCTCGCACTGACTGCGCTCCTCCGGCGCCTCTCCGCCCGCGCTCCCAGCCATGGTGGTCTGGCGCTCGGCATTCCTCCTCTGCCTCGCTTTCTCCTTGGCCACTCTGGTCCAAAGAGGTAAGGCGGGCGGGGGGCGCGCGGGGACCCCGCCCTGTGGGCCGCAGGGCGGGAGCTCGGCGCCCCGCGGCCCCGTGCTGCGCATGAGCGGCCCGGCCCCCGCCTCGCGGGCCTGCGGCGGAGGCTGCGGGCAGGTGGGCGGGGCTGTGCGGGGCAGTGGGGGTGCGAACCCCGGGCCCGCGGGGACTCTGACCTTGCCGTGATCCGTGTGGTCGGAGATGGGGGACCGAACTAGAAACAGCGGGATAAAAATCCCACTTAAAATCCTGAACAAGGTGTCATGTCACCACTGGTGACAACAGCTGTCCCCAGGAGATTGCGGTTGGGAAGACCTTGAAGAGAGCGCACTCATTCCCTTGAGCGGGGCTTCACAAAATGTGTTTCGAGGCCACCTACCGCAGAAGCACCTGGGGAGCTTCCTGGGCGCATTCCTACCCCCTTTTGTCAGGATCTCTTTTGGGACGGGAAGGTGGGGGGCAGCGATGTGCTGTAAGTCTGACCAGCTCCCCAGGTGCTTCTGGTGCCCGGGGGGGAGGCGGGCATTGGCGACTTTTGCCAAGGAGGTGGAGAGAGAAATGCTGTCGAATCAAGGGAGCAAGTTTCCTAAACCCTCAGTATTCGGACTGTGGTCCAGGGCCTTCATAGACATCACTCGCGACTTGTTGGGAATGCAGCATCTCAGACCCCGCCCCAGACCGACTGAGTCAGATTCTGCATTTTAACCAGATCTCCGGGTAATTCGCAGTCACATTTAAGTTTGAGAAGCATCTTAGGATAAATGCAGTGTGTGGTTAAAAATAGGCCCTCCGACGTGTACAGACAGAATCTTCTTACACTTATTTATATCCCGTCTCCACATCAGAAAGAGGTTTGAGGAAAACACTGCAATTGAGCACAGAGTTATGCTCTGAGCTCCCTGACGAGGAAGGCAAATTCAGCTAGTGAAAAACATGAGCTCAGCAAAAACAAAACTTTGTCCTCGTGTTGAGTTCTAGTGAGATTTATGTTACTTATGGGGAACACTGGAAAACAGTAGGCAGTCTCAGGCAGTTTTGCAAAAGATGCAGAAATGTTTCTCATGTGGGCAGCCCTTCTGGACTTGCTACAAGAAGAGCCATTCAGTATTCTGCAAAGGTGTCAGGCTCTGTTCCAGACACAGATGATGCAGCAGCGAACAAGACTAAGACTGTCTCTTCATGGACCTAACGTCGGGGTTGGGGGTGGGGGGTAGGAGACAAACACAAATGTCACAGTCTCCATAATACATTGTCAGTGCCATGAAGGAAAATGAAACAAGTTACAGGGCTGTTGAATTTTCTGTTTCATTTTGCTTCTTGGGGGTTAACATGTTAGTTTTGTTACAATGCATTTGTGGGGAAAAGTCTGGTCACTTGATTGGCTCACGTTGAAAGTGGAAGCGCAGAAAAGTTAGAAAAATGATATTCCCTTCAAGGATACCTCCTGGAAGTCTTCACCATGGTATGCACATTGAGAAGGGGAGGAAGGGAAATCAGCAGGTCTCTGATTTTCGCCATCACAGGTTATACTAGGTGCTTTAGGAGGTGGCCGAGGAAATTGAACCAGTGTACCCATTTTACAGATGAAATGGAGGCCCAGGGAAGAGGGAGGTAACTTGCCTCAGGTGGCAGAGCTGAGATTTGACCCCAGGCTTGTCTGATTGCACAGTCCTTGCTTCTGAGCACCTGGAGGCTGCGCTTCTGCCTTGGGAATGTTCTCTGAACCTTGCTTGGTTTGCTTGGCCCTGTTTGTGCGCAACAACAAAGGTGTCTTGAGGGGACCGGGAGTGTGCGAGGCACCTCACAAAACTTGGTTATAGTTGCCTCAACAGTTTTGCTGGTTACGTATTAGCGCAGGGACCCTGGTCACATAGCTTGGAAGAGATTGAGCCAGGATCCCACCCGGATAAGACCACTACTTAGTGATCTTCTTGATTGTAATTAAGAGAACTGAACCGGAGGAAGCTTTTGCTTCAAGGTGGGGAACTTGCTTTGTGGCTCTTTTGTGCAAAACAAGATGACAAATATGGGCTTTGAATTGCTGGTGCTCTGGGAGTCTGGACAGTTGCAGTTTGAGAGCTGCCTCTCTTGGAGCCTCACAGTGGTGGAGTGGGTGGGCCTGTGCAAGAGCCATTTTATTCCTGGTCCCGGTCCTCAGTAGTGATCTGTGACCGAGAAAGACCAGCAGCCCTCAGCACACAGAACCTCGAAGCGTGATTCATGAAATCCCTTCAGGCTCTGGCAAGTTGAGACAGGCTTCAGGCTTCCAGGAGTTTAAAAGCGTGGTTACCAAGTCATCCCTGTTCTAATTTGGGATGGCTTTTTAGTCCAGTGTGCATTTTACTAGCTCTGAAAAAATCCTCTGAGGACAATTATGGTGCCTGTATTCATCTACAGAAATAGGAAGCTGATCTCTTGTGCAGTGGGGAGAGGAGTCTCCGTGGTGCAGGTGGGCAGTAATGGTAATGAAGTTTCCATTTCCTGAGTGCCTTGCATGCACCGGGCCTTCAGTGCGCCACCCACATGGACCCCTCATAACCACCCGGAAGGGTTGGCACCCTGACCCATCTCCTTTTCTCATGTCCTTTATGGGCACTCGCATATGACCTTGAAAAGTAACTTGGTGGTGGGGTGCCTGGGTGGTTCAGTTGGTTGAGAATCCAGCTCTTGATTTCGGCTCAGGTTGTGATCTCAGGGTTGTGAGATGGGGCCCCGCATTGGGTCCCACACTTAGTGTGGAATCATCTTGGGATTGTCTCTTCTGCCCCTTACCCGAGCTTGTGCGTGTATGTGCGCATGCTCTCTCTCTCTCAAATAAATAAATAAAATCTTAAAAAAAAAAGTAACTTGGTGGTAACCCATTTCTCAGATGAAAAATGAGCAGCCCAGCGAGCTTTAGGACTCGAACTCAAGGTTGACAAATGTAGATGCCTCCAGGGATGGGGCAGGTCACAGACACGTGGAAAGTGGCCGAGAATAAGTGTGACCAATGTGTGGGCAGGCCACTGGCTGCTGAGTACCTGCTCCCTTAAAGAGAAGGAGCCCAGCTGACAGAGGGAGAGTGCAGGCTTTGGAGCAAGCTTGGCCAGTGCTACTAGGAGTGAGTCATTTAACTGCTGTGTGCTTCAGTGTCCTCATTTGTATAATGGGGGTAACCACAACATCCACTTCATGGGGTTGTTCGGAGGACTGAATACAGATGGATGACCCAGTGACCTCTGTTAGTAATTATTATTCACGTTACCTAAAACATTCCAAGCCACGTTTTAAAATTTAAAAATACACAGTGCAGACCTGGAAAATAATATGCGAAGTGAAAGAAGCCAGACACAAAAGCCCACATATTATCCCATTTATATGAAATGTCCAGAGCCGGCAAATCCATAGGGACAAAGAAGTAGATGAGTGAGTGGTCACCAGAGGCTAGGGGTGGGGGGGTGGGGAACTGAGGAACAAGGAGGGATTGATGAATGAGTGCAGTTTCCTTTTGGGGTGATGAAAATGTTCTGGAACTAGATAGAGGTGATGGTTGCACAAACTTGTGAATGTACTAAGAACCATTCAGTTGTAGGGTGAGTTGTATGGTGCATGAATTATACCTCCATTTAGTAAAAATTCGCTGTAGTTCGAGCAAAACAAATGAGAGTCGGGGCAGCCTGTGGTCCCTGGGTTGGGGTTGGTTGGGAGGGGAGAGAGGAGAGCGGAGTGGGCGCCACGTGCCGGGTGTGCTGAGAGGCTAGGCTGGGATCCTGGCAGAAGCCCTGCGGGGGGCCTACTCTGGATACTGGGTATGAGCCAACCAGGCCACAGGGGTGCGTACAGGCTTGGCCCAGAGCTGCGTCACCCCCGAGTGTGTACACTGGGCAGTCATTGCCCTGGACTGACAGGGTCTGGGGACAGTTGGCCTTTTAGTGTCACATGTTTTGATTGGTTTTCGGTTCCTTCCTTGCTGTCCCAGGTCACATCTCCACCCCCTCCGTCATTTGGGACCAGGGAGCTCCAACATGTTTAGTTAACGCCCCCCCCGCCCCCAAAGTGCCCTGAGAGCCAGCCTCTGGCCTCTGCAGGGACTGAGGAAGGGGCTGCAGCTATTTCCAGTAGAGATGGGGATGAGGAGGCCTTTTGGCTGCTCAGAGGGGCTTGTGGGGAGGAGCTGGTTTGGGTTCTGGTGAGCTCAGGAAAGAGACCTTCCAGGTGCAACGAGTTTCTGGGCTCTTCCACCACCTGGCATTGGTGCTTTTCCTGCTGTGTGTCCACCCCTCCTCTTCACCCTTGGCGTGTAATCCTCTGCTGATCTCCGTGTGCTTGGGGAGGCCTGGCCGCAGGGGGTCCTGTCTCCCAACCCAGGCTCGGCTCTGCCTGAGTCTTGCTCATAAGTCCCCTGATTGGTCAGCCTTGGTTTGCCTGTAAAAGCTTAAAGTCATCCTAAACTGGTCCTAACCAAAACGTGTGGGAACTGCGTGGATGAAAGTAGGTGTTCCAAACGGAGGGGCGGAGCTGTGCTAGGCTCCCACAGAGGGCCATGTCCTAATCTCTGGCACCTGTGGCTATCAGGTTCCGAGTAAGGGAGAGTTCTGGTAGCTAATCAGCGGCGTTTAAATGAGATTCCCCTGGGTTATCGTGGCCAGATGAAAGACAGGGATCCTTTAAATAGGGAAGATAGAGGCAAAGGCGCTAGAGCGAGTCAGAGAGCGATGTGATAGAAGATTTGACCCAAAGATGGAGGGGCCAGGAGCCAAGGGATGTACACACAGCCTTGAGAAGCCGAAAAAGGGGGTGGACTCTTCTGAGAGCTTCTAGAAGGAACGCAGTCCTGCTGACACCTTGCTTGTAGCCCAGTGAGACCTGTGTTGGACTTCTGACCTCCAGAACTATAAGATTAAAAAAAAAGTGTTTTAAATCTGTCGAAACTTGTTGTAGCAGCAACAGCAACCAATAGAAAAATGAAGGGGTAGCTACTAGCCTCTTCATCCACTGCAAAAA